CTTGCACTAGAAAACGTGAACACGAATTGAGTGGTTGGAAATGAAGGCTTCTTCTGAAGGGGCATTGAGGCTGTACTTGCACGAGCCTTTGCTGCGCGAGCAAGACGCGGACCAGGTCGACGCGAGAGCCGTAATTTGGGCGGATTAGAGCCAGATCTGATCATCGAACCCGCAAAGGGCAAATGCGTTGATAATGCTTGATCAAGGGCAAGTGTATCGCCAAGAGAAAGGGCTCCCAAGACGGCTGCAAGCTGGCGCTTTCGATGCTTGAGCAGCTCCTTGTGCTGGAGACCTGCCAGCGTTGATGCGGTGATCTTCCCCTTCCTGGGGGTTGGGGTCACCGATGGTGGCAGGGCAGAAAGGTCAAGGCCATGGTTAGCCCGACCATGCAATAGAGCCAAGCTGTCCAAAATCTCATCCTCTGCACCCAACTGTGGCTCCGCTTCCCGCCCTTGCGCCGCGCCCGACATGTTAGCTGGCACTTTCCTCTTCTTCGTATTCCCAGGCTGTTGGAAATGATCGGTATAGTCACCCTCACTCTGGTCCTCTTCCGACTTTCCCATTTTCCCGAGCTGGTACGCCGCGTTCAGATCAAGGGTGTCCCCGTTGCGGGTGCCACCGAACACAGAAGCGTAGTAAGACTGCAGAGAGGAGTCAGCATGAGCAATGAGTTCGTCTGCGAGAGATTCTGCGCCGAGAATGTCGGCCATGGGATGGACGAGGTCGTCTGCTGCTGGAATGGGCGCGTCTGAGGTGCGTCTACGTTTAGGTAACGGTTTAAGCCTCCTCAACGGCTGAAATTCCGGCTCATCGGATGCGGGCGACGATCCTCGATACATTTTGTGGCAGAATTTCAATAAAAGAAGATAATCGGAAAAAGTTGCCAAACTGTAGCGTCTAAAGCAAAAAGAGTGAAGGAAGGAACGTCTGAAATACGTACGGCTTCCGGCGCTGGCCCTTATGCTGACGTGGAGACCAACCAGTTTGCTAGCTACAAGTCGGTGGCTACGACAGCCGATACATTTTCGCACCCTCCAGAGTCTCACCAGAGCTTCAGAGTAAAACAGCCTGCAATGGGAAGGCGTCTAGGAATTGATAGAATAAGACAGGAAAGACTACGGTACAGGATATGCGATGCTCTAACAGTAAAAATTGTCTCGTGAGGATATCAAATAATGTCCGACCGCGCGTCGCAATGCCAATAAATGAGTGGATATCGCGAAACGACGACTGACAAATGATGTATGCTGCTCATGTCTACGGCCTGCCGTTTAACGTCTATCTATAATGCGGAGAGAGGGGGTGGCGCTTGGGGGAGAGAATTAAGAGTAGACATACCGCACCGAGACAATAGAAACACAGACGACGAATGTAAGATAGGCCGTATAGTCTTCATGATGAGCAGAAGCAACGAGACAAACCAGGTTGGAAGAGCAGCGCAAGGAGTCCGTGCGTGAGAGGAAAAGAGAGCGAAACACACAGCGAGATGGATGTTTGAGTGCATAGGGCGAAGAGTTTGTTACCATGGACATTTTCATGAATGCGAAATCGAGGCGAATCGAGGAAATCCGAGAGAAGCTGCAGGCCGAGAAGAATTCGATACGATTGAGTAGGAGGTGAGTGGATTTAGGATATGGCGACAGTATATTTACCACCAGCCGGATCCACCACCGCTTGCTCCATTGTTGTTATAACCTCCACCAGAACCATAACCTCCGCCGCCGCCGCCATATGAAGGGGCATTGCCGTAGCTCATGTTGCCACGTCCGAAGCCCCCACCATAGTTGCTGGCGCCACCATAGCCAGACTGTCTGAAATCGCGGTTGCCACCACGACCACGACCTCCAGCACTGCCACTACTACTGCCACCTCCGCGGCCACGACCGCCACGGAAACTTGATCCAAAGGTGGACTCCTGTACCACACTTTCCAACCACCCAGGAATCTCCTGGTTAGCCTCGCGAAGAAGTTCGAGAAGATCGCGGACAATGTTCTTGTTCCCACGGTTGAAGAATGCAGTCGAAACACCGGTGTTTCCGGCACGACCAGTACGACCAATACGGTGGACGTAGTCATCAATGTCCGAAGGTAGGTCGTAGTTGATCACATGGGTGACGTTAGGAATATCAAGACCACGGGCTGCGACAGCAGTAGCTACTAAAATTGGAGTACGTCCGGTGCGGAAGGTCTGCAAAGCCATCTCACGCTCACGCTGGGAGCGATCGCCATGGATAGACGTAGCAGGGAGGCGGTTTGACATGAGGAAATCAGACAACATGTCGGCCATGCGCTTGGTCTCTACGAAGACGAGGGTCAACCCGCCAGGAGGATCAGACGCGAGGAGATCAAGCAAAACAGAACGCTTGTCATTGTCCTCGACGTACTCGATCTTTTGGGTGATGTTCTCAGAGGTTGAACCAACACGGCCGACAGAAAGGAATATGTAGTCCTTCAGGAAGTCTCGTGCGAGCATTTGGATATCACGTGGGAATGTGGCACTAAACATAAGCGTCTGGCGATCCTCTACGCCAGGCATGTCCTCGCCTTGGACAATCCTGCGAATCTGAGGCTCGAAACCCATGTCAAGCATGCGATCAGCCTCATCAAGGACAAGGTAGCGAATGTTTGCTAAACTGATCCGACCACGCTCAATGAGGTCAACGAGCCGTCCGGGAGTAGCACTGAGAAGATCACAGCCACGCTCGATCAAACGCAGTTGTTGATTAATGTCGGCACCACCATACACCACTGCTGGGCGAACCCACGAGCGGTATGCAAATTTGCGCGCTTCTTCGTGAATTTGACTGACAAGCTCGCGGGTGGGAGCAAGAATAAGGGCAGTAGGGTAGGCTTTACGTGAGCGTGAGTACCCCATTGATGGGGTCTCAGGTGGTGGGGCACGAGGTCCAGAAGCGAAAGAGGCGGAGAAAATAGGAAAGAGGAAGCCTCCTGTCTTTCCGGAACCAGTCTAGAGCACAACGTTAGCGTCTACAAATGACCCAAAGAAAAGCACACACCTGAGCACAAGCCATTAAATCTCTGTTAGCAGCAACGATGGGAATGGAGTACTTTTGAACGGGAGTCGGAGTAGTGTAACGAGCGAATGCAATGTTCTCCAAGAGAACAGGGTCTAGTGGGGGGTTCGTGAAAGCTATAACGGGGTCTGGGACTCCAGCGCCTGTAGCCTCGACAGGAATATCATCATACTTCTCAAAGTTGATGCCAGTGTGTTGCTTGGATGGATCAGTCGGATCTCCGAAAAGCTCCTTCTCCATGCGCGGATTGCGAGGGCCGACGACATGAAGACCATTGCGCCAGGCACCAAATCCGGAAGAATCACGCTGTTGGCTATCTCCACGGGGTTCTCTGGCAGTCCATCCGTTGCTAGATGGGCGACCTGCCCAATCACTTGCACTGCTACCTCCGCGGGTGGGACTGCCGAATCCAACGCTGAAGGTATCTTTACTACCTTTGTCGGGAGGACCACCTCGAAGAGGTTCGAATCCACGGCGAGGAGAAGCTTGGGGCTCGTTCCAGCCGGTCCTAGTTACGAGCGCTTGATTATCACAAGATGTGAAATTAGAAGGAAATGACGTACCCGTTTGGTTGTGGCGGAGGTGTAGCGCGCTGCGCATTTCTCATATGAGGGGGAACGTATGCAGATTTCGTTCCATTTATGCCGAGAGAAGCTGAAGTAAGGATATTAGTATGGTGAGAAGGGTACAAAGATAATATGAGTGAACGCGTACCAAACTGAGTCTCTAGACTTGCGTTGCCGTTTACAATTCCATTGGTCATATTAAGTCGAAATGTCAATGAACCTGACTGTTCTTTTTTCTGTCGTTGATGTTCTAGAGAAGGACCGATGTTGGTGGATGAAGAAAGAAAGCTGAACAACCACAATTTTGATAAAAAATTCCGGACCTTCCAGATGCTGACTAATAAAACACCATGAATGGGCAATCGTTCTCACGCACTGCCACTTACCTTTTTGGTCAAGTCAACGTAGCTCTATAGATTGTTACTTACGCCGAGCACAAAACTAAGATGTCTCAACAAGTCCAGCAAGCTCCAGCAGGTCAACACTCGCATGCTCACCCACACCCCCCGCAGCCTGCTCAACAGGTTATGCCTGCTCCACAGCCAGACCCAGTCATGCAGGCTCGCATCGATGCCGATTTTAAGCCTGTAGACATAGCAGTAGGGGGTCCAAGTACTGCATTCGCCTTCTGCAACACGCACAAGCTAGAAAAGTGCAAGCAGTGCAACGTAGACTTTATTGCTCTCAATCGTGTTTCGAAAATTCTTGTCACGAATCCTACCTTGCGCTGTCCACCTCCTCCAACCGTTGTGCAGCAGAAACTATCGCAGGCGGTGACAAATATGAAGGATGAGGGCAATGTATGTCTTCTGACTTTATTTCTCCATATTCAGTTAATGTTTTTCACAGAACCTATACAAACTCAACAAGACCAGAGAAGCGCTCTCAAAATACAATATGGCAGCGAGCATAGCCGTGCAGAGACCAGCTTGGGAAGGTGCCGCAATACTACGAGAAGAGCTCTCGACGGTCGTATCCAACCGCTCAGCAGCTCTTCTTGAGCTTGGTGACTACCTCGGTGCGCTCGTTGACGCTGAGACCGTCATTTCAGTCCGGAGACAATGGCCGAAAGGTCATTTCAGGAAAGCAAAAGCACTCGTTGCGCTGGGCCACATAGAAGAGGCTAAAGATGCTATCTCTCTTGGCCTTCAATTTGAGCCTAATAACACTGTAAGCCACTCCCATGCCCAGGTTGACACGTGTCTCACATCTTGCCTCAGGAGCTCAGCGGGTATATGCTTGAGTTGGACAAGCAGTTGGCATCGCGTAATCAGCCAAATACGAAGGAAAAGACTGTGTCTGTCACCTCGTAGTATACATACAGATTGTCCATATACCCGTGGATCGTTATTACCCGTACATGAAAGCTGGATGAATAAATTACAATTAGGCCATATCCCTATGTGGGTCTCCCGATCTCATCTTTCAGTGGCCCTAGAAGCCGCTCAGTCTCTATACACTCCTCTGGGAGCTTGAACACTCGCAGAATGACGTCAGACCCCATCATCAATTTCGCTTTGTTTACGCGGTTCTGCAGCTCGAAGCGCTTCTTCTCCGCCTCCGTCATAGATGGCGTAGTCTGACCAGTCGCCCGCCTGAAGTTGCGCAAAGATAAAGAGCTGGAACTCGACCCAATCGAGCTTATGGAGTCCACAGACATCCTCGTTTTGGTTTTGGAATCTGAATTTGCGGGAATATCAAATGAGGAAAATGATTGTGGAAGCAGGGTCAATTTGGAGGTGGGTCTCCTCTTCACGGATGGCCCCGGTTTTGCGGCATACGGCCCCAACTCTTTCAAAGTATCCGGGTCAGACATCGAACGAAGGGGGTGTGGACGAGTAGCAAGGGGTTGTGGTGGCAAGCTCGTCTTCTTGACAGGCCCGGGAGCCTTCGTGGACATGAGACTCGCCGAACTACCTGTAGCATCCGCAAGTCCTGCATTGTGTACATCTCGGATGAACACAGCCAGAATCTGCTGGGGACGCTCCATGGCGATGGATGCATACAGCTCCAGATCTTGCTCGCCTGAATCCCCAATTAGGATGAACTTCGAGTCAGGAAAACCATCAAGGACTTCAACCACATTTGCACGCTTGCGAGTGGCGGGATCAGAAAGAAGGGCATTGAAGAAGGATCTACCACTGTAAGATTTAAGGGCAATAGATCCGTGCGGAAGGTCGGATATCTGCAAAAAATCTTTGATGACTGGGAGGAGTTCAAAGGGGGAATTAGACTGGGGGAGTTATGAACGTGAGTACACCATAAAATGTGGCATGGCACTCACGACGTAATGGAAGCGAACGCCTCGCTCCCACATTGACTTGTACCATGTCCCCATCTCTGGAATAGTCGTTTCCTCGAGGTCTTTAACAAAAACGTTGCGGAAGACGGCACGAGCACCACTCGTGATATTTGAGAGCTTGATAGTATCGTCTATGTCTGTTATTACATGGATGGGTGAAAATGTGATTGGAACAACCAGCGAAATGTTCTTTGGAACGTCTGTGTGAAACAGGTATGCGGGTGTGGGCGCAGGCTCAGGTAACAGCTTTGCAGAAACGAGTAGCTCATGCTCTACATCCGATCCGTCGGATTGTCTGTGCCGTGCTATAGGATGCCTAGATAGATCCTGCCAGGGAATCTTGAAGGGGTTTGCGAAGGCGCCGTCTGGTCCAGTGACCACGTGTTCAGGTGTACAGCGGACCATCCTTGAGAGCGTCACGTTTCGAATGGATGTCGCCTGGGGTAGTAGATACAGCAAAAATGGATATTTGGACAGTGCGGGATGATAACGCGGATGACCAAAATGGTCGCAGACGCGCCTCGAGGTTCTTGTGTTGTTTATGGAGTAGAGCGCTCGCAAACGGCGCTGAAGGTGTCGGTTGAGGGTCAGACTCAGATTCATATGGTTCTTCAGTAAGTCGAGGATATTGTGGGTCCCTCATGTGTTCGAATTCCTTGTCTAGTTCCATCTCGAAGTCATCTGCTATTTCGTCTGGACGGGGAGGTAGCCTGATGCCGTCTATTTCTATCATAGATGATCCTTTGACGGGCGACTGTTGACCCGGTAGTTTGGGTAGAGATGCATAACCTGATCATGACTTCAGCTTAGCGTTACAACATAATTTTGAATGAGCGCACTTCTAGCTAGTCTCAGAAACGCACGCTGAGAGCGGGTAAGAAATTCTGGCGACCTGCGTGTCGTCGCATAGCCCGAGACATAAACAAGTAAGTCAAATGCATCTGCAAAAAGTAGGCCTTTGAGCCGAACGAAGCTAGCATAGCAAGAGCGTTACTTACTTTCATCCTCATGCTCACTCACAAGCCACCGTGATACCCAGCCAGGAAATAGAGTCACTTCGTCCGTGGTTGTCACATCTGATCCACTCCATCTGATTTTCTTACCCACCCACTGACTCCAGCTCTGCATTGTCGTCCGCCCATCAACGTAACCGCTCTCCCCTTGTCTGAGCGCTCGGCGAGTTGGTATATACGTGCGAAGGTTCTGTTTGGAGATGAAGGATTTCAGGCCAGCCAGACGCGACGATGGGCAAGGGTTACTTGCAGACATTGGTCTCTCCATGAAAGCCGTCTCCAGGTGGTTGCATCAAGGTGCTAAAGCTGAAATCACCATGTTGTTGCTGGTGCGGTGTTTACTTAAGTCCAGGCGCCTACCGTGGAAGCCGCTGTAGGCCGTTGGCGTGCAGGCACGGTGAGTGACATATGTGTGACTTCATTTTGGATTCAAGTTTATTCACCGCGGACCGGCATCTGCTTGAATGCGGACCTTCACCACCTTCCATCTAAGCAGACAACTTTTATTGGTTAATAATTTAGCGCAACGAACACAATCGTATCACAGGACACGATACATGGATATCACACAAGAGCTAAAACAGGCGGACAAGAGTGGAAAGAAGGGACCATCTCCAAAGCTTAAAGGACACCCTCGTGATGATCCACGGGTACGTGTATCGAAGAGCCTGAGCTGGCTGCTACGGCATGGAGCAAAGAATGCAGGATTAGATATGAGAGATGACGGGTATGCCAAAGTCTCAGATGTGGTGAGTTGTATGAGACCTGTTAACGTTTTGTAGATTTGATTACTTCGGATAGCTCTCGAATCCTATGTTTAGAGACGTCAATTTCTCTCAGTTGCAAGAGATCGTTAGCAAAGACCAAAAGCAGCGATTTCACCTTCTATCAGAGCCTCGGTCATCTGACTCACCGTCTGACATATGGTGGATCAGAGCAAATCAGGGGCATTCCTTGAAGGTACTTAACTTATAGCCAAACGAATGTTTGGTTTAAATATCTTGATCACAGACTGTCACGCTGGACATGCAGCCTATTACATCCGCATTAGATGTACCAATGGCTGTTCACGGCACGACACTTAGTGCCTGGGAGTTCATAGGTAAATTCTCGTCTATAAGGTGGTTTGTCCTTCTAACACATATCTGTCAGCTACGCAAGGCCTATCCAAAATGAAGCGAAATCACATTCATCTTGCCCAGGGCATTCCGGGAGATAATGTCATGAGCGGTAGGTAAAACCTCATCTACACGCGTTCTGCGATTTACGCTCTATAGGGATGCGCAACTCCTCACAAATTCTGATTTTTGTTGATGTGCAGAAAGCCCTCGATGCTGGTGTTCTGTTCTACTTGTCCGCTAATGGCGTTGTCCTGACAGACGGCAACGAAGGGTTCCTATCACCAACTTATTTCCAGCGGGTGGAGTTTGCCAAGGGACGCTCGCCGGTACCAGGATGGGAAGGCGCAGGACCAGTTGTACCACGGGCATTACTCGCTCAGTCCTCGCTATCCGTCGAAGGTCTTCAAGTTGCACAGTCTGATTCAAATACAAGTGAATCTACATAATTTGCATTCAAAGCGCTGGTACGCTTTGTTTCAGTATTTTTCGATACCGGATGGCATATTCCTCCTCGATGCTTAGTCACTTCTCCATGTTGTCTTCCAACTCTTCTTCCTCTAGAATTTTTCGTGACACCTTGCTTCGAGCACGAATCCTAGACCCATAAAAGAAAAGTACCTGGCCCCAATTTAATAATGACCTGACAGGTAGCTAGTTTTGTCTTACCCATGGAATGGGCACTAGCGCTGCACCTATGCATCCGAACAGGGTCAGACCCCATCTATACGTCAAGCGAGCAAACATTTGTGTCGTGAAAAGAGGAAAGATTGATGCGGCCAAATTTCCTGGGGATTCATGGCATTAAAAAGTATTTAGAGTCGTGCAGGAGACGAACTCACGACACAGGCTTTGGCCTGCAATGGCTGACGATGCATATGTCCCATAGCTATGAGATTGATGAGTTTCATTCAATCGCGTAGGTCAAAACATTTTCACCAATCTGCGAGATACAAGAAGACCACCATGTAAATCACAAATCCGCCGGACATGAATATCTTGAGAAATGTCAGTCTCGCAACTGTGACGAAAATGCGTAGGACAAACAGTGAGACCGATTGCTGGCGCTATCCAATGTATTTCCGGTCTTGCTGTCCAAGCATAGATGAGCATTCCGATTGGTATGAAGAGTGCCGCAACACAAGGAAGATAAAGACGCGCTTCTTGACGTTTCCGAGGATAATGTTTGCTAATTCGAACAGGTCGATGATCCATAGATGTGCAATGTGGCCAGCGCATGCTTACTGATATAACTTTTCTTGATAGATGTTGGCAGAGTATCCAACGAAGCTCCCAACTCTAAGCCGGACAATAGTAAATCATCGTCACGAGTTCCAGATTCTGTCGACTCACATGAGGGTGCTGAAAACAAACCCCGTGTCCTGTACGTTAAATCCGTAGACCGCCTGGAACTCAGCGGAGACAGACCTATACCTGGGTTAGATGGTAAGCACAACGATATAGAACGGCGTACTCTAAAAGGGCGAAGACTACGCCCCATGTAAAGCCAATCCACAACTGCGTGAAAGAAACACTCCTGTTTAGCTCCATCTCTAAAAAGTAGCTGCAGAGCCTACGCTGAAACCCTGGACGATAGGCTCCGTCAGCAAGAGGTCTGAAAAAATAAAATGTCAGCTGATATGTGTAGATCATCGGCGAAATTTGCTGACAAATTGGTCGTGTGCAGGAAATCTTGATCAAAGTGCTTAATTTTTGTTTTTCAATTTCTGCTTTCGCTCGGTATCTATCATCTCCTGTCTCTTTTCGCTTCTTGCTTGCCAGGCGGGTTAAAACTATGGTAGCGCGCGTTTCTTTCATGAGCAATACAACAGAGATGAAATAAGCCCCTGTAAACCTGCAGGAAAAATCGGTCAATGGAATGTGCGTGATATGTTCCAAGGGACTAACATAACATGAACCCACTGAATCCATCTCCATCCAAGGCGAGGATTTGCCTCTATTACACCAGCAATTACGGGTCCAAGGCCTGTTCCGACCACAGCAACAAGAGCGAAGAATGCCATAGGTTGTCCACGCCTGTGAAGATAGCTGTAGCGATGAAACAAGTAAAGATCTCAAAATGCCCAACTCATGTTGCTTCCATACGTCGGCGATCGAACCACCCACCAAGGTTGCACCTGTTGAGCCGAATGCGCCCCCGAGCAGACGTCCAAGTATGACGGTCTGTATGTTCGGTGACCTGTAATAGTCTGAAACAGCGTCACGTTTGTGAAAAATGAACTTACAGGGCAATCATCATTTCCGTCAGCATAAATCCAAATGACGAGACGATGTATATGTTCAAGCGACCGAATTCTTCCGTGAAGGACGAAGTGATGAGAGGAATCGTGCCAAATCCGATTGACCACATGCTCAATCCGACAGTGGCCTGGAACTGAGTGCAGTTTAGATCCTGCATCATCGACTGGTATCCCATCGAAAAAGAGGCCGACGCTGCAGCTAGAGGCACAATAATCTATCAATTCTCTAGTCGCTCCGTGGCGTAGATTAGATTACCGACTATCCCAGTAAAAGCACACGCCACCAATGTGATCGTCCACTTTGCTTTGTATGAGAAATTCATGGGATCCCGTGTGTCATTATCCTCGAAGGTTACCTGTTGCTCATTAATAATAATATTGATTGAGGCTGGAGGGGCCAAATCGAAAAGTACTTGCAAGAAATTTATCGTTGTCCTCGGACATACGGATCATTGACGAAGGAGAGCTGATTATGTCATGTTTCTCTGAATCTTGTACGGTCGCCATGAGCTTGTGGTGAATGTCGCAGGGCAATGAGGGTACGAGTAGGTATCCAACTGTATTTTCCAGCTATTTTAAAAGTCTAATGGCACGACTTCTCTCATGACTATAAAAAGTCACGAGCCCGCACTGGCACAGAGATAGGCCATTGGCCGAAACCCTGTCTAAATGCAAGTTAGCTCAGGTTAATAATCTTGAGCTATCCTGAGCCCGAGAAAGTACGACCCTGTGTGTGAATGTCAATGTGAATTATAAATCGGGTTATCGGACAGACACAAGCCCAGATTTACGTTGATATTTGAGCTCGTTCGAGGCATTCCTAAGTATCCTGAGTGCGGACAGTGAAGACAGCGCTCTGACGGCCGTCAGGGACTCGGACACCGGTACGTTCGTCCGAAGGAGCAACATTTTGACTTTTTCGAATCAGTGGCCAGGAAAGCGCTTCGCTCAATTCGGCAAAGTGGCAAATAGATGTTCCCGAGATCATGATGCGGGGCAGCCAGCTCGAGGTTATATGAGCCTGCGAACGAAGATGGCTATCATGACGTTGTACATGCGAAGAGCTGCTCCAAGACAAACTCTTGGGATGTATCCTACATGCTACTCACCTAGATTACGTGTTCTCAGACAATTCGTGCACTGTGGCCTATAAACGGTTCATGATTGAACGAGGGAGTGTAATCGCCACCTCAGGAGGCGCTCACCTGAGTGACACCTGTTCCCACACTTGTTAGTAACGTATATAGTATAACATGTCTGTTACTAACGAGGGGGGGAAACCTACGCTGCAGTACTTCAGCGATAGTCGCAGCACTTAGCATTGACTTTCAGAAAAATCAAGAGGGCGGGAAAATAAATAATAGGGTAGGCTTATCTGATCGATTTGTCATCGCCCCGGATATCTCCCGCCAGGTACAATGCTGCCGCCACGCCTTCTTGATGGTTCCCACGCCATTCTCTTTCTGCCTCTACATCGTCGGCAACGATGAGCTCGCTATTCTGCTTGTCTGTGGTCCATATTCCGCCGTTCTTTTCGTTTTAATCATGCTGATTGGCTTCTGACTGCACCGCCAACGTCCTCTGCGCTCCAACGCGCCTCTTTGCCATAGAATTGCAGCAGGTATCTCTCCTACAAGGTATGACACTGTCACTATGCCTTCTAAAGCTGCTCATGCCATTCTCTTTCAGCCTGTGCATTGTCCTTGACAGCGAGCTCACTATCCTGCTTGTCCCTCGCCCCAATCCCACTGTCCCTTCGATGTCTGTTCTCGATGGACCCTTAGATCTGCAGCAGGTATCTCCCTTACAAGGTACAACACTGTCACTATGCCTTCTAAAGCTGCTCACGCCATTCTCTTTTAGCCTGTGCATTGTCCTCGACAGTGAGCTCACTATCCTGATTGTCCCTCGCCCCAATCCTACTGTCCCTTCAATGGACGTCTGATGGCATTACTGACATCTTTGGTATTCACACACTGCTCTCTTTCCCTCTGCATCATTCTCTTTCCTCCACGTCATTGGTACTCCATCCAACCTCATGTTGATCAGCCTTAACTGCTGTTTGTTTTACTCTTTCTGCGACATTATCGTAACCCGTTTCAACACTACCACCACCATGGTCCCCTCAATGTGCCGCCGACACCGTGGTGCTCGATGTTATTGACTGGTTACTATACTATCAATGTGTCTAACAGGTACTGAGTACTAGTCTTCATCTTTGTCTGAGCTCGACTCATCATCAGTGCCAACAGTTGCTTTACTCTTGGGTTGCAACACACGAGCCCTCGCTTTCCTTGGTACATAAACTTGTTCCCCGTGTGCCTGCCGCGCACGGTTATCCTTCATCCTCTTGACAAGCTCTTCCTCTGACAGAGAAACCCACTTGCATGATTTGGATTCGAGAGCATCCAATAAAGCCTTTACCTGAGCTCTTCCACCAACCTTAGAAGGGTTTTTCACACCTCCTGGCAAAGGCCACTTCGTTAGCTCTATGCTGTGATGTTCTACTATAGCGCACTCATAGTTCGTATAATTCATTTTAATTTTGCCTGACACATTCTTCTCCATTGAGATGAATTCTTCAATGATTTATGTTAGTGATGGCATAAGTGTGACAGCATGAAGCACGTACCTAGGTTATCTTGAATAAGCTCACGGCATTCACTAATAAGTTTGTTAAATCGCTTCTTGGACCCGAACCAAGTGGCACCCCGACTAGGACCCCCAAAAATCCTCATCAAACACAGCGCTCAACAGCGCGCCCAACACCTAGAGGCGTTACTCCGCCCCAGTGGAATCATCTACACTAATCTTTTTCACCCCCCAGAAATGTTTGACGCATTATTAAGACTAACATGCCCCCAGGAAAGGCCACCTCTGGCATGGGGCCTCTCAACTCCAACTCCCCCACCCAGACAACGGCTCCCAACACCCGCAAAACCACCCGCTCTCAGACCTCAGTGGAGGAAATTATGGCAACCCGTAGTGCGGTCATGGACACGGAGAGTGCAGAGGCATACCTGGCGTCCAAACTGTTATGTCAAGTCGGTCAACCATTCACACTCACCCACCTCTCCACCATTCTGTTTCATATCAGACAAATGTTCACCGTCACCCCAGTGCCGGTGAATGCGGCAATTTGTGCTGTAGCGTTCCTCCTGAAGAAACAAATGGTATGCGAGATAGCGGAAGCGGCAGCAAAAGAACTGGCACTCACCTTATCTGGTTCCCTAACTGAGTCACTCTCCACCTAATTGGTCGACCATACAATTGCAGCGTTAGCCCCCCAGATAGCTGGAGTTCATGCCGCCTCAGAGAGCCTAGCCAAGACTGCTCAGAAAACCGAGGATACCCTAGCCATTACCCTTGACAAAGCTGAGTGCCTGCACCGGATAGCCAGAGATGAGCGAACCGAACAAGAAGGTGGGGTTTCGGTAGCCTCCAAACGCCTTGAGGAAACTGCGGATGCCTTATATGCCACGATAACAGACTGTCAGAACACCATCAAACTACTTGCCCCCTCGTTGGATGCCACTCAAGACCGCACCAACCATCTATCCCTCCAAATGACCTCTACCCCCACCCCCATCATTCCCCACGACCCAGCCCACCTACAGCTCTGTAGTGGCTGCTCACCTCCCTCCCAAGGTGGACCAAGCTGTCGGCCAAGCAGCTGTTCGGGCATGCGAGATCCTTCTAGACGCCACCCCAGGCTCGAGTCTATTCCCACCTGGAACTACAAACAGGGAGATAGTGACTCGCCTCAAGGAAGCACTCAATAACATTAGGGAAGATAGCACCCCACAAGGCAGTGTCAGAGCCATAACCACACTGCGTAACGGAGGAATAGTAGTAGAACTGGAATCTGAGGATCTGGCATCGTGGCTCCACAGCCCTACAGGGCGCACTCTACTTGAAAGTCAATTCGAATCAGCAGTATTGTTCCGTTCCCGAACCTTCGCCTTAGTACTAGAATACTTACCAATTCAACTACAGATAGAAAATGACAGCTTTCTCCACCAAGTCGAAGAAGAAAACCAACTCCTGGCCGATACACTAACCTCTATTCGCTGGATCAAACCTCTGAACCGCAGATCCAACCAGCAGCGCAAGGCCTTCGCTCTTCTGCAAGTATCTGATGCACCCACGGCCAACAATATCCTACGAGACGGACTGTGTATCGACAATGAGAGGATATCCATCCGGAAGAACAAAAAAGAACCCATTCGATGCGCGAAGTGTCAAAGGTACGGCCATATCGCCTGCAGCTGCACAGACGAGAATGACACCTGTGGTACATGTGGAGAACATCACCGTTCCACCCACTGCAATGCATACCGCACTACCCATTGCGTTAACTGTCACAGCAGCAACCACACCAGCTGGAGTAGGAAATGCCCGGAATTTATTCGACGCTGCGACCCTCCTTGACAAGAAATTCCTGGAGAACAAGATGCCTTACTTTCCCACTGAAGCTGCGTGGACACACACCATCGTCCCACTGAGACCCCCCAGAGCGACCTCGGACATGTTCTCCCTGCCTATTCCGCAAGACCTGCTCCCAAGAACCAACAACACCCTCCATCAAACCATGCTCGCACTCCAAAAACCTCCCTCCTCCCCGTCCCCTCCACCCCGCTCCAACTCCAACTCCCCTAGTCAGTCCACATCCTTCTCTGACATCCTAAGGGACATCTACCCACCATTAGACCCTGACCCTACCTCACCTCCCAACACCCTGAGTCCCTCTCAACCTTCTGGCAGTCCCCCCCCCCTCCTCACCCCCCACTCATGTCTAATTACACCCATACCAACAACATTCGGCTCAAGATTTGGCAACAAAACCTCAATACCTCTTTGATCACTCAGTCTTCCCTACTCAACAACCCCGTCATCGCGGACTGGGATATACTGATCATCCAAGAGCCCTATATTAATTTCCTTCGTAATTCTAGCGCCAACCACCACTGGCACGTCCTCTACCCCTCACAGCACTATACCCACCCCCAGCAGCAGTCGCGGGCACTCATCCTCATCAGCACAAGACTCGATACCAATTCATGGAAACAGCTCACCTTCCCTTCATCAGACATCATCGCAATTCAAACTTCTGGTCCCTATGGACGATGTACCATTTTTAATATCTATAATGACTGCACCCATAATAACACGCTAACTACTTTTAACACTTATCTAGAGAACAACGCCGCCTCCCTCAGAACATCCGACAACGATCACATGCTCTGGTCAGGGGATTTCAATCACCACCACCCCCTGTGGGAAGATATCTGTAACCGCCACCCATTCAATTATACGGCCGCCAGCCCCCTCATTGACCTCATTGCCGACCACAGAATGATTCAGCTCCTGCTGCAAAACACCCCCACCCTCCAATCCATCAGCACAGGCAATTGTTGACGATTTACCTTTTAGACTTCGTATTACCTTCTTGTTCTTATCACCATCGACACCACATGCAGCGCACTCGTCTTGGCATCTTCTTGCTTCTTAACCATACGAGCTTTCCGCAAGTCCTTTCGCTGGTCTATTACCTAAACTCACTATACCTTTCGTATAAAGCTCGTGTCGGCTGTAACACACCTCAGTATTGTTCTACGACTTACTGAGGTGTGTATGCATTCTCTTACTTGTATCGCACTCATACTCATGTACCCTAGCGCTTCTCCCCGCTAGGTACATACAACAATATTAGTATTGTTCTACGACTTACTGAGCGCTTCTCCCCGCTAGATCTATTAGCGTGATTAGCAATTGGATGCGCGCGGACAATGTGTTCGGTACTGAACACCTCCTTGATGCAGTCGTCTTGTGTGAAACTGCCCCAGAACTTCGTGGACCAAAGACCGACCACCTCCCTATACTACTAACCCTAGAGCTCGAAACCCCCACCATGGATGCAGAACCTCAATGCAATTGGCGTGGGGTCGATTGGGACGCCTTCAACAAGTGTCTCAAGGAAACCCTCACCACCAGACCTGCCTAACCTCTTGCATCCGATGAGGAATTTCAAGAGGCCGTGCAGCACCTTACCCAATCGATCACCACCACCATGGACTCCTGCATGCCCTACTCGAAACCCTGTCCACACTCCAAATGGTGGTGGACGAAGCGACTATCTTTCCTCAGATCCCAGGTCAAGAACCTCAGCAAGTTGGCATATCAGATGCGAGGTCTCCCCCAACACCCCAGCCATGACAAACTCAAAGCGACCAAGGACCTCTATGCGAACAAAATAACGGCGATGAAGAAGCAGCACTGGTTAGATTGGTTGGAAGACATAGAAGGTAATGACTTATGGACCGCTAATAAATATATCTCAGCAGAACCACGCGATGGAGGCAAGACCTGAACTCCCTCCTTCTCCCTCACCAATCAAGATGGATCCATGGCTGAAGCAACTACCAACAACGAGAAGAGTCGAATTCTAGCTAAGTCCTTTTTTCCTCCTCCCCCTGAAGCTGACCCTGTTCCACAAGATGTGCAGTACCCCGACCCAGTTGAGCGCCTACCCCCAATCACCATGGACCAGATAGAGAGGGCGATATGCAACCTAAGTGGGTACAAAGCACCCGGTCCTGATGGGATTTGCAACATCGTTTTCAAGGAATGCTCTGGCACCCTTGTCCCCTATCTCCTACACCTTTTCAATGCCACAATATCACACCGCACATACTATCAGCCATGGCGAAAGTTCACTACTGTCGTCCTATGTAAGCCGGGCAAGCCCAACTACTCAGTCCCCAAAGCCTACCAGCCAATCGCCCTACTCAACACAACCGGAAAGTTACTGACGGCAGTAGTAGCGGACCAGCTCACCTATGTCCTGGAACACCACCAACTGTTGCCCAACACACACTTCGGTGGCAGGCCGGGTTGATCCACGTCCGACTCGCTTCACCAGCTCGAAGCCACAATCAAGAATGCGTGGTGAGCGCACAAGGTGGCCTCAGTCCTGTTCCTGGACATCAAAGGTGCCTTCCCTAATGCTGTGACAAAGCGCCTGCTTCATAACATGCAGATGAGACGCATCCCAGGTGACATAGTAGACTTCACTGAACAGGTGCTGACCAACCATCAAACGCAATTGAAATTTGATGGATACATGTCCGACTGGTTCCCGGTATCCAATGGGATAGGCCAGGGTGACCCACTATCTATGATCTTATACATCATCTATAGTTCTGACCTGGTTGACGTTGCAATGCCTTGATGTGGTAGAGAAGCCTTGAAAGAACTAACATTAGCATTCATTGATGACACAGCTTTCATCGCCATCAGAAAGGACTTCTCCGACACTCACACCATCCTTGCAGATATGCTTGAACGACCAGGCAGAGGCTATGATTGGTCAAGAGTTCACAATTCCTGCTTTGAAACTAACAAATTTGCGCTAATGGATTTCTCTATGAATAGACACAGGCCACGCCCCAACATGATCATTCAGGGTGCCACCATCCATCCCTCCTCAACTCACCGTTTCCTCGGTGTCATCCTCAACCAGGAATTGCGCTGGAAAGCACAGGTTGACAATGCTGTAGCAAGAAGGACGTCCTACGTACTCCAACTACGATGTCTCTCTACATCTGCCAAGGGCATCCCTATGCGGTTGATGCGCCAACTATACCTAGCAGTGGCAGTCCCCAAGATGTTGTACGCTGCGGATCTCTGGTTCTCACCCATCATTTGCCATGGAACAGACACCCTGCAAAGAGGTTCGGTAGAGGTTGCAAAATGGTTATCGACAGTTCAACGTCTAGCAGCCATCGCCCTGACAGGAGCGATGTGCACCACAGCCACTGACATTCTTCACTGGGCCATCATCCACATTGCAGCTCTCCCCAGCATCCACCCTCTTCACACCCCAGTCCACAAAGCTGCACAGTGTTATGTTGCAGCGCACCACTCATCCCTTCACCGCCTCACCCACCACTTTGCTCTATCTCCCACAACTGTGGAAACGCTAACCCCAGCCCGATGCCCCCCATCTGCCAAAAACCCGTGGTCCACTCACATCGCTGCAAACAAAGATACGGCCATTTCCAAACACGAAACACTGACGGACCAGATACAGATCTACAGCGACGGATTGGGTTATAAAGGCAAAATTGGAGCAGCGGCAGTCCTATTCCGAGCAGGACAGCAACCTAGAACATTGAGGTACCACCTAGGGACGGACAAAGAGCATACGGTTTTCGAAGCAGAGGAAGTAGGACTAATCTTAGCTGCACGGCTACTGGCCACCGAACGTGATCCATCTTTCCCCCTCTCTATATCAGTGGACAACCAAGCCTCCATTCGAGCAGGTGAGACATTCAACTCGCGTCCCAGTTCATATCTGGCAGATTGTTTTCGCAGGATGATGCACAAGATCGCAAATAACAATGAAGGGTTTGAGGCGACCATACGATGGGTCCCAGGACACTCTGGAGTCCATGGCAATGAGGAAGTCGACAAGCACGCCAAATTAATCGTGGAGAGCCACAACAACAACAGCCCAGTTAATCGCCTACCTTGCCTTCTCTGCAGAAGAGCCCTCCCACTGAGCATATCGGCCCTGAAGGAAGTGCAAAGCAAGGACACCACCCAGAGATGGGGACAGTTGTGGTGCAAATCCCTGTGCTTCTATCGTTTCAATCAACTCGACCCCAGCATCCTCAAACATTCATTCACCAAACTAACTGCCAACTTCCCAAAATGCCTCACCAGTCTATACATATTCCTTCGAACCGGCCACGCCCCACTCAACAAGCACCTCCATCACATACGTAAATCCGACAGTCCATCCTGCCCCCACTGCCCCGGCATAGATGAGACAGTACACCACTACCTGTTAGATTGCCCACACTCCCAACGCGACCACCACATCCTTGTTAGTGCCCTAGGGCGAAGGGCCACCTCCATCCAATTCCTTCTGACAGACCCTGACGCCACCCCTCACCTTGTTAAATTTGTCAATGGCACTCGTAGATTCAAGACCGTCCTTGGTGAAGTCCCGCTCCCTTGCACCCCGGCAGGCTTATAAGTTTTGAATAGGTTCGAAAGCACGCAAGCATGTATATCGCCCCATCGCAATCTATCCCCCTCCTACACACCACCCACGCACTCCTGTACCATCAAATGTTTCATATCACCTTGTATCACCACCATCCACTCGCACACACGGAGCCACTAGCATCATCACTGGTATCAGTCAGACGGAAATGGGCCTCCCACCAGCCAACAAAATGGGACCACCCACACATTAATCCTTCTGCAACCTTTCGACTCCTGTACCTGCCCGCTTCTGCGGCCAAGTATGCATCCTTGTTATCATACCGACAGTTCATACCAACCACAAGTGTACATATAAGTCATCTCATCCTCACTGGGTTGCACGTCTAAAACGGCCGGCGGGAACGGTGGACTGATGGGGCACGTCTCACATCAGGGCATTCACGAACTCAGAGATGCGTAGGGGGCACTTGAGGGCCCCCAGACTAGATAGAATTGTCCTCCATAGAGTATTACTCTCCATAGGACATGAAGATTGAATCAAAAAAAAAATCAAGTTTGTTGTGCACGTCTTTGGAGCCCATCAGTAGGCTGCTATAGGATGAAGGGAAGGATGCCATACCAAGCTTGCTAATCACGAATGCTTCCAGCTTGAGTCCAAGATGCTGCGGTTCAACACCTAGGACATCTTGAACAAACTTTTGAGATTTCTCCATGAAAAATATCTTCGGTTCTGCGAGATCTTCGATTCCATCACACACTGCCACATAAAACCCTTCCAAACCAGTGTGTGTGTGCAGAGCCATCCACTGAGAATAAATTTGAGTTTTATTAGTGGTGGCGCCAATGAGATAGTGGAGGAATAAACGAGAGATGCCACAGTGGTGGCAAGACGGCAAAGGAATAAACAAGAGATGCCGCAGTGGTGGCGCACATATTGCAGTAACATATCTCCGTATTATACGAGTGAACGGACGTGCATAATATCCCGTATGATACGGGCCAGCGGACCATGGGCCGAAGGTAGATATATCCTCGACTGTGATGGATGGGCCGGGAGTGTTATTATTCCCGATGGAGACGGGTTGGCCCAGGTGGGGAATATGTAAAGTAGATGGGTGGGCCGATGGACATGAATTTTCAATAGACGGATCGGCCGAGGTAGTTGGATATTATGTAGATGGGTGTACCAAGGTAGATATGTATCAAATAGCCGGGTATATCAAGGGTGCTTGTTATCACATAGACAGGTGGGCCCAGATATATATCATATTAGACGGGTGGGCCGACGAATTAATATTATTTTGTAGACGGGTGGGCTGACATATTGGTATTATTTTGTAGACGAGTGGGCCGAGGGAGCGGTGAAAGATTTATTATATACGGGTGGGCCAATGGTAGACATATATTGCATAGACGGGTAGGCCGACGTAGGGGTATATAATATAAACGGGTGGGCCCAGGAGAATGATAATTGTAGACATGATGGAGCTCAGCTAGTTGTATATCATGGAGGTAATAATTCAAAGTCATCTAATGATGTAGTATGGCATGGAGCCTTGCAAAGGGGTGAAGTGGAAACTCAAGCGAAGTGTACTGAGTTCCGAGACCCGGGTCTCGACAAATGAATATGTGATGTCCAGCACACTTCCAATCGTCTGGTATTTCATTGAGCAATATATGATAATAGATCTTTGAAAGCCAACATCATCCAAGCCTACCAAATGCCAAATGCCAAGTTCCAACTACCGAAAATCAAGTGAAGTGTACCAATATCCGAGCCCTGACTATCAAATCCCGACAATCGACCATTGAGTCCCGACTACCGAGTCTTGAAACCCGAGTCCCAAAGCCCGAGATTTGAGTCCTGAAACCCAATGCCCGACCATTGAATCCCAACAATCGAGTATCAAGTCCCGACCAACGAGTCCCAAATATTGAGTCCCGACCATCGAGACCCAACACCCGACACCCGACACCCAACACCCAACACCCAACACCCAACACCCAACACCCGACACCCGACAACCGACAACCGACACCCGACACCCGACACCCGACACCCGAGATTCAAGACTCAAGTTCTGACTATGGAGTCCCGGATATCAAAAATCAAGTGAAGTGTACTGAGATCCGAGTCCAACCTGAAGGATTCCTTAGGCTGGACTTCCAAACCTTTGGATTTGTCCTTCCATCTCTATCCAAGCTTAAGGATTGATTCCTTAAGCTGGACCTTTGCCTTTCTGGCACTTCCTGTCTTTCCAAGACTTATGTCTACTTCCTGTTATCTCCGACTCCACCTAAGTGTAGCCTACCTCTGTTTGCTTCTACTCCAGACCTTGTCCATGGTAGCCTTTATTCTCCTGTCCTATAATCCTGTACACTCCTGCTGACCTCCAGACCTTTGGATCTCCGGACATCTTACCCTTCGGATATCAAAACCTTTGGACATTGTAACCTTTGGACATCTGAACATTCAGATGGCGCAACCTTCAGACATCCTGTCCTCTGGACCACTCCTCCTATCTGATCCTGCTTTGGACTCTGTCCCTTGCAGTCTCTCCTCCATGTGCTTCCATCTAGGAAGCTTACCTTCAGAAGTCTTATCTTCGGACCCTATGCAGCAGGTGAAACTCCTCCAGAGTTTCCTGTACTTCTCTAGAAGTTTCTATACTCCTCCGGAAGGTTCCTGTGCTCATCCAGAAGTCCCCCAGCACTCCATCAGAGTAGCCAGTCTCCGGAAGTCCTTCGGACTTCATTGGATTTCATCTGGACTTCATTCTGAAATTAAGGGTATGTACTTGGGAAAGGTGCAAAATAAAATATACTGACTACCAAGTGCTGAGCACTAAGTGTCGAGTTCCAAGTTCCGAGTTCCGAGTTCCGAGTTCCGAGTTCCGAGTTCCGAGTTCCGAGTTCCGAGTTCCGAGTTCCGAGTTCCGAGTTCCGAGTTCCGAGTTCCGAGTTCCGAGTTCCGAGTTCCGAGTTCCGAGTTCCGAGTTCCGAGTTCCGAGTTCCGAGTTCCGAGTGCCCTGATGCTTTCGGGTATTAACACCCAGATAGCCCTCGCTCTCAGGGACCCGTCAGAATTGAGATCATCTCAAACGGATGTGATTTGAGTGAGATATGAACAGAATACTATATGCCGGGTGAATGTTGGCATCAGAAGTTCGATGCTTTCGATGTTATTGATGTCGGGTCTTGATGCTTTCAGGCATGAACATGTAGATAGCCCTCAATCTCAGGGGTGTGGCAGAATTCACATTGTCTCAAACAGATATAATTTGAGTGAGATATTTGCACCATACTATGTATATACTGACTACCGAGTGCTGAGTGCTGAGTTTTGAGTTCCGAGTTCCGAGTGCCAAGTGCCTAGTTCCGAGTGCCGAGTGCCCCGAGGCCTTCGGGTATTAACATCCAGATAGCCCACGCTCTCAGGGGCCCATCAGAATTTAGATCATCTTAAACGGATGTGATTTGAGTGAGATATGAGCAAAATCCTATATACCAAGTGAATTTCACCATCAGAAGTTTGATGCTTTTGATGTTATTGATATCAAGCCTCGATGCCTTCAGGCATTGACATGCAGATAGCCCTAGATCTCACGGGTCTGGCAGAATTTAGCCCATCCTAAATGGATAAGAGTTGAGTGAGATATGAGCAAAATCCCATATACTGTGTGTATTTCAGCATTGTAAGGTCAATGCTTTCCATGTTTGCAATGTCTAGCCTCAATGCATTCAGGCATTCACAAGCAGATAGAACTTGATCTCAGGGGCCTGTCACAATTCAGATCGTCTCACACGGATAAGACTTGAGTGAGATATGAGCAAAATATTATATATCGGGTGATTTTTGATGTCAGGCCTTGCACAAAGGGTAAGCACATAGCACAACAGGAATAAATCCTGTTGTCCTAGTATCCTTATATATTGCATATACTATCGAAGGGATGTTGGGGATCATATTTTGCCTCAAACAGACATGATTTGAGGGAGATATGAGCAAAATACAATTTATTGGGTGTGTCTGAGCTTCGCAGGTTCAATGTTTTTGTTGTCAGCCTTGTGTGGGAAAAATTCTAAAACATCAGGAGAAACATAAAAACACATCATCAGGGACTGCATCAGGTTTGCTATGATCACACCTATGTATAATATGATAGATTGGCTTCCAATGTACTGTTCCAGTCCCTGAAACAGTATCTGTCAGTGGTATGTATCTCTAAATACAAAAAAACTCGAAATTCAAGGCAATCACTGTGCACTGGTGCAAGAAAGTTACAATCACAAGATATATACATCAGCAAAATATGATTTTGCCACACGGTTACCAGAAGGTCACAAGCTTTCACAGTGCTTACTAGACTAAGGATATGATTGTCTTAACTCAATAGTCTTAACTTGCTAGGCATAATATAAGCTTTCTTAATAACCATGACTGTCATATCTTCCATAATAATCCTAACCCTCACAGCTTATGTATTATGTAGTAATCAACAATCATATTAGACTATCAAGTGAAGACTATCGTGTAATGACTATCAAGTTAAGACTACTGTATTTTATTCTAAGTCTGTACAATAGACCTGTGATACTTGATGAGTGTCAGCCTGAACAGTATATTAAAGATCACACTATCATACTACACATAGGTATGACTATTGAAGACATGATGTAGTGCCTTATGATGTGTTTTTATGTGTCTCCTGATGTGTTGAGAATGTCCTACATTACCTCATATGTCCATGTGAGGCCATATGAATTCTGTGACACTCCTGACATTAAGGGCTATCCACATGTCAATGAACACAGTCATCTAGGCCTCACATTGAAATCATTGAAAACATCAAACTCCTGATGCAAAAATATGATCCAAATTCTGAAGGACCCCTGAGAGTGAAGGCTATCTGCATATCAATGCCTGAAAGCATTGAGGCCCGACATCAAAATCATTGAAAGCATTGAACTTCCAATGCTGAAATTCACCTGATATATAGTATTTTGCTCCTATCTCACTCAAATCACATCTGTTTGAGATAATCAAAATTCTGATGGACCCCTGAGAGCAAGGGCTATCTGGGTGGTAATGCCCGAAAGCATCGGGACACTCAGCACTCGGAAGGCACTTGGCACTCGGCACTCGGCACTTGGTACTCAGCACATGGTAGTCAGTATATCTCACTCAAATTATATCTGTTTCAGACAATCTGAATTTTACCACACCCCTGAGATCGAGGGCTATCTACATGTCAATACCCAAAAGCATTGAGACCCGACATCAAAAACATCGAAAGCATTGAACTTCTGATGCCAAAATTCACCCGGTATATAGTATTTTGTTCATATCTCGCTCAAATCACATCCGTTTGAGATGATCTAAATTCTGACAGGCCCTTGAGAGTGAGGGTGATCTGGGTGTCAATACCCGAAAGCATCGGGGCACTCGGCACTCGGCACTCGGAACTCGGAACTCGGCACTCGGCACTTGGCACTCGGAACTCAGAACTCAGAACTCGGCACTCAGCACTCGGTAGTCAGTGTGTGGTATTTTGCATATATCTCACTCAAATTATATCCGTTTGAGACAATGTGAATTCTGCCACACCCCTGAGATCAAGGGCTATCTACATGTTAATGCCCGAAAGCATCAAGACCCAACATCAAAAACATCGAAAGCATCAAACTTCCAATGCTGAAATTCACCCGGTATATAGTATTCTGTTCATATCTCACTCAAATCACATCCATTTGAGATGATCTAAATTCTGACGGGTCCCTGAGAGCGAGGGCGATCTGGGTGTTAATGCCCGAAAGCATCGGGGTACTTGGCACTCGGAACTTGGCACTCGGAACTCGGCACTTGGAACTTGGTTCTCGGCACTTGGCACTCGGAACTCAGAACTCAGAACTCGGCACTCAGCACTCGGTAGTCAGTATATACATAGTATTTTGCAAATATCTCACTCAAATTATATCTGTTTGAGACAATGTGAGTTCTGCCACACCCCTGAGATCAAGGGCTATCTACATATTAATGCTCGAAAGCATCAAGACCAGACATCAAAAACATCGAAAGCATCGAACTTCTGATGCCAAAATTCACCCGGTATATAGAATTTTGTTCATATCTCACTCAAATCACATCCGTTTGAGATGATCTAAATTCTGATGGGCCCCTGAGAGCGAGGGCTTTTAATACCCGAAAGCATCGGGTCACTCGGCACTCGGCACTCGGAACTCGGAACTCGGAACTCGGAACTCGGAACTCGGAACTCGGAACTCGGAACTCAGAACTCGGAACTTGGTTCTCTGCACTTGGCACTTGGTACTCAGCACTCGGTAGTCAGTGTGTGGTATTTTGCATATATCTCACTCAAGTTATATCTGTTTCAGACAATCTAAATTTTGCCACACCCCTGAGATCGAGGGCTATCTACATGTTAATGCCCGAAAGCATCAAGACCCGACATCAAAAACATCGAAAGCATCAAACTTCCAATGCTGAAATTCACCCGGTATATAGTATTTTGCTCATATCTCACTCAAATCACATCTGTTTGAGATGATCTAAATTCTGACAGGCCCCTGAGGACGAGGGCTATCTGGGTGTTAATACCCGAAAGCATCGGGGCACTCGGAACTCGGAACTCGGCACTCGGCACTCAGAACTCAGCACTCGGCACTGAGCACTTGGGACTCGGCACTGAGCACTTGGGACTCATTAAATCACATCTGTTTGAGATGATCTAAATTCTGATGGGCCCCTGAGAGCATGGGCTATCTGGGTGTTAAAGCCTGAAAGCATCAGGGCACTCTGCACTTGGCACTCAGCACTTGGTACTCAGCACTCAGTAGTCAATATATAGTATTTGCATATATCTCACTTGAAATTCACCCGGTATATAGTATTTTGTTCATATCTCACTCAAATCACATCTGTTTGAGATGATCTAAATTCTGACAGGCCCCTGAGTGTGAGGGCTATCTGGGTGTTAATACCCGAAAGCATCGGGGCACTCGGCACTCGGCACTCGGCACTCAGAACTCAGTTCTCAGCACTTGGCACTTGGCACTCAGCACTCGGTAGTCAGTGTGTGGTATTTTGCATATATCTCACTCAAATTATATCCGTTTGAGACAATGTGAATTCTGCCACACCCCTGAGATCAAGGGCTATCTACATGTTAATGCCCGAAAGCATCAAGACCCGACATCAAAAACATCGAAAGCATCAAACTTCCAATGCTGAAATTCACCCGGTATATACATATTTTGCTCATATCTCACTCAAATCACATCTGTTTGAGATGATCTAAATTCTGACAGGCCCCTGAGAGCGAG